ATACTGTCAAGCCTTTTTCGCTTATGTGAGCAAGTCTATTATGCCACAACTCTGATGTAAGCTTATCTTTCATAGCATTGATAGCGTCTTGTGAGAGTCCTGCTTGTAGTATATACAAGCTAGAATGCTTGTTTCCACGAGCAACAATCATAGCACCTCTAGTAAGCTTCCACTGACCATTACTGAAGGTGTTGCAATATCCTTCATCATCAAGTTTACCTGCAGAGATCAAATTCAAACGAATGTCAGGAATATGCTTTACCCCTCTAAGAAGTAGCTTTGTGTCATTGTTCATCTCCAAGCACACATCTTCAATACCAACGACTTTGGCCAAGCCATCATTGCCCATCTTTACTGTACCAAAGTCACCTGCCGTGTAGGATGTAAAGAAGTCCTTTCGAGATGTGGCATGAATGGAGGCTCCACTATCAATAACCCAACTGGTCTCATGACATGCAACATTGACAACATCATTATCATAAACAACAAGAAAGTCTTCAATAGAAGTGGTAGCAACTCTCTCATTTTCCTTGTTATCACCACCCTATTGTTCTTTGCCTTTCTTCTTGTTCTCCCGTTTCAACTGTCTACAATATTTCTTGATCTCTCCTTTCGTGTTGCAGTGATGACACTCAACATTAGAAAACCTATTGGACTTACTTCTTCCTTTATCTTTGTTCCTGGAATCTTTGTTCTTACTTTGCCCTCTACTTTCTGTAACCAAAATCTCTGACTGCTGAGAAGACCCATGTAACTTTCTTCTCATTTCTTCATTTAAAATACTACTCTTAGCTAGATCCATATTGATTATACCACTGAGTTATCTGGCTTCTCAGTGGCAAACACCGGTAAATGAAATTGTTTAACATAAATGAGATCTTCCATTTTTCCTTTCCAAGTATGGTAATTTGCACCATTCAAAGTAATCATTCTACTCAAATTAGCTTCCATATTCAACACAAGATATTCAGTAATAATAACCACAAGCTCTAATACCACTTTATTGGGAGAATCACGAAATCAAGCAAACTCTAACCAAGTTCGATAAATAGCGGAAATAATATTTTTCTCCCTCTTTGTGTGAATCTATTAGGAAACAATTTAGTATAGCTTAAAACCAAAAAACAAGTACACAAGAACACAATCAAATTTACGTGGAAAAACCTTCCCGGTGTGGGAAGATAAAAAACCACGGTCACCAAAAACTTTCACAATCAAGAAAGTAATTGTACAAGGGTTCTCTCTAGATAAAACTAAAGGCATACAATCAGCAAATCATCAAGAAAATACATTCCTTGGAAACTAACAAATATCTCAAGATAATGGAGAAATATCACCCAAAACAGAGGTATTGTTCATGGACTCATATTTCACAAACCAGTGAGCCAAACCAGATCTCCGCCGTTCAGATTGAAGAACCTTAAGTCGGGAACATGCAGAAAAAATTTCAGCTCAATCGGACCACAAACGACCTTCGATCGAGGCACAAAAGACCTTAAAAGTGTGGATTTATCTAACATATATAAAAAAGATAAGTGCTGACAAATTGGAATCCTGAACCAGTCATTGCTTATTTGTAGACTACCCAAAGGATTCAATTAGGTATCTATTCTATAATCCTAGAGAAAAAGGTCTTTGTTAGTCAAAATTCTCAATTCTTAGAAAAAGCTCTAAATACAACTCCTAGCTTAGGTCTACCTAGGTATAGAGACCTCTTGCTTGATATGGTTATGACCAAGAAATGTTCTTGATAAAAACTAAGGATAATGAAAAAGAAACATTGACTTATATGGAAAATATGTTAGACATAAACTCTTTAAGTTGATAGATGCCATGAAAGTTGAGATGGACTAAATGAAGATTAATAGAGTTTGAACTCTTTGTTGATTCACCCTTTAGGATAAAAGCAATTGGTTGCAAATGGATCTTCAAGAGGAAGAAAGGCCCTAATGGAAAAGTTGAAGCCTATAAAACTCAATTTGTGGCGAAGGGTTATACTTAAAAAATGAATAATTATGCGGAGACATTTTTGCCTATAGCTATGTTAAAGTCTATTAAAATACTATGGACTATAACCACACACTATAACTACAAAATTTAGCAAATGGATGTCAAGCTAATGTTCTTGAATAGAGATCTTATAGAAGATATCTATTAGAGCTAGCCGAATAAGGGTAGATTAGTCATTTTATTTTTGTTAAGTTATGTGCTTATGTGGCAGTTTTAATAGAGACTTCCTGTCCCATACTTAAGTGGAGGGGCAATTTAGTCTTTGCATAACTAATTAGAGGCTAATTCATATTAGGGTCAACTGATAGGGTTTAAGCTATCAGATTCGACGGTTCTTCTTCTTCCTTCTTCTTCTTCTCTCTCTCTTACTCTCTATAGGTTCGAACTACTTAAACACACCTATCAAAACATGGTATCAGAGCCATAAATGAAGGAGAAGGCTACGACTTCAAGATTTCCATCATGCGACTTCAAGTTCTCTCTCCTTTTTTCTTCTTCTCTGGGCTGCAAATATGAGATACACAATTTGATAGATGTGGCATCTGTTATTTATTTTTTTTAGGACTGCCGCAATCCCTATTACAAGTATTAGGAAGGTGCGGCAGCCCTAGGGTATCAGCCTAATACTGCTATCACCATGTGTGACAGTCCTAGTCGTGTGGTGGTGCCTATGGTGTTTACCCTCTACTAAACAATTTCAAAAGGGTTTGTGTGTGGTTGCTCAAGTTGTTGCATTGCTGTCATGGTAACTACTATTTCTGGGTTGTTAGTAGTGGTGTGAACAGAAATTTTTTTGTGTGTGATTGCTTGAGTGTTGTGTTGTTGTAATGGTGCCTAATATTTCTGCGATGTCAGTAGTGGTGTGAACAGAAAAAAAAAATTGTGCTGAAAGAAGTGGTCGAATACCTCAGCCTAGTAGCTTTCATCAATATTCTAATCTAGATGGTAGTCGAATCTGGTCAAAACATCCAGTTCTTAACCTGAATGTTGGTCTACATCAAGTTGTTGATTGTCACTAGTTGTGAGATTGTTATCAGTGTGTTGTAGCGTTGCCTTGACAACAGTATTTGGTTGGTGACTGAGAATTCAGCATTAGAGATAGCAATGGGGGACATAATGGCAGCAACGGGAGATGGTTCTAGTGATCCGAAACTGAGTGTGATGATCCCCTCTAACTATTTGGGTGTGCAAATGACCTCCATTAAACTTAATAGTGAGAATTATGTGCCATGGGCCAAGTCAATGGAAGTTTTCCTCAAGGCAAAGAGGAAAGCGAAACACGTGAAGGAAGATAAACCATCAGCTGACTCTCTAGGGTTTGATGACTGGGAATAGGAAGATGCCCAAATCATGACATGGTTATGGAATAGTATGGAACCCAAAATAAGTGCCAACTTTATGTTCTTAGATACAACTAAGGACATATGGGAACATGCGCAAAAGCTTTATTCTAGGCAAGATAATACTACAAAGGTATATCAGCTCTATCAGGAGTATTTCGATCTGCAGCAAGGGAATAAAACCCTAGAAGAGTACTATGCCAGTATGAAGAACCTCATAAACGAACTCAATGTTTATCATCCCCTCACTCCAGATGTTAAGGTTCAACAACAACAGAGGGAACAACTAGATGTCACTAGGTTCTTAGTGGGGTTGAAATTAGAATATGAACCAGTTAGGGCCCAAATATTGGGAAGCTCTACTCTTCCTACACTTGAGGAAGTTTTTGCACGGCTTCATAGGATTTCTTTGGGATTTGTAGAGAATCCCACACAGTCTGACAGATCAGCATTTGTGATAGCCAGAGGAGGTGGACGTGGTACTAGAGGGGGAGGACATGCCTCCCGAGGAGGTCATGGTGGTTCCGTATTTGGCTGTGGTTGTGGTCCTGACTCAGGGGGAGGTCGTGGTAAAGGAAAAAGGAACATGCCTAAAAGCTTTTTTCTGGGCAGGATAATACTACAAAAGTATATTAGCTCTATCATGAGTATTTCGATCTGCAGCAAGGGAATAAAACCCTAGAAGAGTACTATGYCAGTATGAAGAACCTCAWAAATGAACTCAATGTCTATCATCCCCTCACTCCAGATGTTAAGGTTCAACAACAACAGAGGGAACAACTAGATGTCACTAGGTTCTTAGTGGGGTTGAAATTAGAATATAAACCAGTTAGGGCCCAAATATTGGAAGAATCTACTCTTCCTACACTTGAGGAAGTTTTTGCACGGTTTCGTAGGATTTCTTTGGGATCTATAGAGAATCCCACATAGTCTGATAGATCAGCATTTGTGATAGCCAGAGGAGGTGGACGTGGTACTAGAGAGGGAGGACATGCCTCCCGAGGAGGTCATGGTGGTTTCGTATTTGGCTGTGGTGGTGGTCCTGACTCAGGGGGAGGTCATGGTAAAGGAAAAAGTAACTCTACAAGGAAGTGTACCCATTGTGGTAGGGACAGACATTCGATGAATTTCTGTTATGATCTCCATGACCCTCCTTCTACATGGGCTAATCATGTAGTAGCTGGTGGGGTTGATGTCAGTGATAACCAATAGGCAGATCTAACACCTTCCACATCTACATCTGTTTCTGGGAAGAAGATGGTGAGTGTACCACGCGATGAGTATGAGAGGTTCCTCCAGGCTACTTCACATCATACGATAGCCACCCTTGCCCACTCAGGTATAGCTTGTCTGGCATCCAAACCCTCTCCCTTGATTATGGACTCTGGAGCCTCTGATCACATGACCGTGACTCCAGGTGTGTTCTCTTCCCTCTCTGAAACTTCCACATCTCAAACTGTTACCCTTGCCAACAGTTTCTCTTCTTCCATCTGTGGTGTTGGTAATGTTGACATGACTTCTCTTTCTTTATCATTTGTTCTATATGTCCCTAAGTTTCCATTCAATCTTATGTATGTTAATAAATTAACCAAGACTCTTAATTGCTCTATTACATTTTTCCCTTCCTTTTATGTTTTTCAGGATCTCAAGATGGGGAAGAAGATTGGTGGGAGGCATGAGGCTGGTGGATTGTATTACCTTGACGGAGGCGGATCGTCAGTTGCACTTCAGACTTCACTCACTCCTCTACAGTGGCATTGTCGACTGGGACATCCWTCTCTCAAGGCACTCAAGATACTAGTTTCGTCTTTGAGTCATTTGTTGTCTTTACAGTGTGAATCGTGTCAATATAGAAAACATCATCAGGTTCCCTTCAGTCCTAGAGTTGATAGTCGTATGTTGAGTCCTTTTGCTTTGGTTCATTCAAATGTTTGGAGTCCGATTAAAATAGTCTTATAATGGTTACAAGTATTTTGTCACTTTTGTTGATGATTGTTCAAGGATGACATGGATTTATTCAATGAAAGAAATGAGTGAATTATTTTCCATTTTTCAAAAATTCCATGTTGAAATACATACACAATTTGGAGTTCCAATCAAAGTTCTTCGTTCAGATAACGGTCGTGAATACTTTCTTACTTCCTTTCAATAGTATTTAGAACAGCATGGCATCATTCATCAAACTTCGTGTGCATCCACTCCTCAACAAAATGAGGTGGCTGAAGGAAAGAACCGTCATCTCTTTGAAACTGCTCGGTTTATTCTTCATCATATGAGTGTTCCTAAACAATTTTGGAGTGATGTTATACTTACTGTGTGTTTCCTTATTAATCGGGTGCCCTCCTTCATTCTTCATGGTCGGTCTCCCTTTTCTATTTTGTTCCCCACCTTGTCTCCCTTTCCATTAACACCCGCATCTTTGGCTGTGTGTGCTTTGTTCACAATCTGAGTCCTGGGATAGACAAGCTGGATGCACGCTCTATTAAGTGTCTTTCTTGGCTACTCTCGGACTCAAAAAGGGTATGTGTTACAATCCCATTACTCGGAAGTGCTATGTCTGTCCTGATGTCACATTTTTTTAGTCTGTCCCCTTTTTCTCAGGACCTGAAGTATCGGTGTCTTCACCTTTGCTTCCTCTTCCTCTTCCAGTCCGTGATCCCGTTCCAGTTGTTCCAATTGGGGTTGACCCTTCACCTCCTCCAGTGCAGATCCCTACTGAACGACCACCGATCTGGCAYGTGTATACTCATCGACAGACACTGGCTCCTCCTCCAGCTTCTACCTTGTTTGCGGATCCTATTGTTGCTCCTGTCCCAGAACTTTCAGGACTTGATCTTCCCATTGTTTTACGGAAAGGTAAACGAAGTTGTACCCTCTATCCCATTTCCAATTTTGTTTCAGTATCTCACCTTTCCGCTTCACATCGCCAGTTTGTTTCATTGTTGTCATCTATTTCTATACCTAAGAATGTCCAAGAGGCTCTTAGCTCACCTGGGTGGCGGAAAACAATGGAGGAGGAACTCTCTGCCATTCAGCATACTCAAACGTGGGAGCTCTCTACTCTTCCTCCCAATAAGCATGTTGTGGATTGTAAATGGGTGTATACTGTTAAATACTTGCTGGATGGTAATGTGAAGAGTCTAAAGGCTAGACTTGTTGCTAAAGGTTATTCATAGTTGTATGGGGTGGACTATATGGAGACATTCTCTCCAGTGGCTAAGATTGGCTTTGTTCATGTCTTAATTTCTCTAGCAGTTATGTATGGATGGCCATTGTTTCAACTAGACACTAAAAATGTCTTCCTTCATGGGGACCTTATGGAGGAGGTATATATGGAGCAACACCTAGGTTTGTTGCTCAGGGGGAGGACGGTAAGGTGTGCAAATTGAAAAAGGCAATTTATTGGTTGAAACAATCACATCGTGCTTAGTTTGGGAAGTTTAGTGAAGTGGTGAAGAATTTTGGAATGAAACAATGCTAGGTTGACCACTCGGTGTTCATTTATGATTCAGAAGTCGGAAAGATTTTATTAGTGGTCTATGTGGATGATATTGTCATAACTGGTAGTGATAAATTGGTGATTGATAAACTAAAGGTATTTCTGCAAAACCATTTTCAATAAAAGACCTTGGGACATTGAAGTATTTCTTGGGTATAGAAGTTGCTAGATCAAAACAAGGTATAAACCTGTGCCAAAGATAATATGTTCTTGATCTACTGGATGAAACATGACTGTTAGGTGCAAAACCGGCTAAAACTCCCATGGAGCCAAATGCTAAGTTGAGCAGTGATACAGGGGAAATATTTGATGATCCTGTAAGGTATAGACAGTAAGTGGGGAAGCTAAACTATTTGACTATCACGAGACTAGGCATCTCCTTTGCAGTTAGTGTGGTGAGCCAATTTATGCAAAACCCTCGAATACCTCACTGGGATGTAGTTCTTAGAATTGTAAAATACCTGAAGGGAGCTCCAAGCCGTGGGTTATTATATAAACTAGGAGGAAGACTTGAGGTAATTAAGTATACAAATGCATATTGGGCAGGCTCTGTGTCTGATAGAAGATCTACTACAAGTTACTGCACATTTTTAGAGAAAATCTTGTGACATGGAAGAGTAAGAAGCAGATGGTTGTGGCAAGGAGTAGTGTTGAAGCCGAATACAGAGCCATGGCACACACTACATGTGAATTAGTATGGCTGAGGAATCTCCTATAAGAATTCAGGTTCTCCATGGATAGACCTATGAAATTGTACTATGACAATCAAGTTGCACTCCACATCTCATCTAACCCTGTTTTTCATGAGAGAACAAAGCACATAGAGATTGATAGCCACTTTGTGAGGGAGAAGGTCCTTCACATAGAGATTAATTGTACTATGACAATTAGAGGCTAATTCATATTAGGGTCAACTGATAGGGTTTAAGCTATCAGATTCGACGGTTCTTCTTCTTCCTTCTTCTTCTTCTTTCTCCCTTACTCTCTACTGGTTCGAACTACTTAAACACAGCTGTCAAAACAATATTTTTATACAATAATCAAAAGGCTTTATTGTTAAAAGTCTGGAACACATAGTGTGAAAGCTCAATGTATCAATTTATGGACTAAAATAGGTTTCTAGAAGCTAAAACATCCAATTTTACTCAATAGTTGAACAGTTTTATTTTAGGTAGAATATGAATGAAACCTCTATTTATAGAAAAATAGTGGAAGACAAAGTTATGTTTTTAATATTCTATGCGGATGACATCCTACTCATTGGGAATAATATATGAATGTTGTATTATGGCTTTCACAATAGTTCTCCATGAATGATCTTAGAGAATCTTCCTATATCTTGACACTCTGACTCTATAAAGAAAGACCAAAGCGTTTAAAATGATTGTCACAATCTACTTATATTGATAAGGTCATAAAGAGGTTCAACATATAGGACTTCAAGAAGTGATTTATGCCTTTCAGCACAAGTCACTCTCTCTAAGGGTATATCACCTAAGACTCACGAGGAGATTGAGGACATGAAGAGGATTCCCTGTGCCTCATTGTAAGGAGCATCACGTATGCCATGTTATATACACAAACCTGATATTGTGCAAGTTGTCAATGTTGTAAGTAGATACCATTCTAGCCCAAGAAAGAAGCATTGGACTGCAGTGAAAAACATATTTAAGTACCTAAGAACCTATAACCATTATCTAGTCATTGATGGTAGTTCACTACAACTTGTAAGGTACATAGATGCCAACTTTCAATCAAATCCGAATGATAGAAAGTCTACATCTAGATATTTCTTTCTATTGGAATCCTACTTAGTTAGTTGGAGAAGCAAAAAACAAGGCTCTACAATGGATTCTATAACCAAAGGCGAATACATTACARCAAGTAAAGGTACTAAGAAAATAGTATGATACCTACCAATATATCACATCCACTATTGTGAGACAACATTGGAGTCATTGCTCAAGTTAAGAATCCAAGAGCCCATTCGAAGTCAAAACACATTGAGAGGAAGAACCATATATTGAGGAAGATAATTGGAAGAGAGGACATCCAAATACAGAAAGAAACATTAATAGATAAAGTGGTTGACCTATTAAATAAGCTAGTGACACAAAAAGTGTTTGAAAAACATGTGAATAGTATGGGATTATGGCTTGTACCTGATTCGACCTAAGTGCAAATGGGAACCGTTAGATATTATATGCCCTTAGCTCTAATTAGACTTATGCAATTTGATATTTATTAGGAAAAATTCCCGATAGGTACCCTATACTTTAGGCCGAGCGCCAATTTATTACCCAAACTTTAAAACGCGACAATCTAGTGCCCGAACCTTTGAAATGTAACAATCTAGTACCTGTTGTTAATAGCCATTGAGTATCATGGGAAAAGACACAAATACCCGTTAACTGTCATCTAATTTTTTTTTGTCAACCTTTTGTTAATAAATCAACAACGATCCCAACTTCTCACTGACCAAACCAAACACAAAGCATAAGAATTCAAATATATGAAAGCGAGCCGAGTGGTCATTACTCGAAAGGTAATAGGCTAATAGCAGCTCCCCTCCCCGGTAGAATAATGGCTCTGATCAATAAGTAATGGGCGTGTGGTCATTGCACGGAAGCGAAGCCGAGTGGTCATTACTCGGAAGGTAATAGGCTAATAGGCTAACAGCAGCTCCCCGATTCAATAATGGAGATCACTGCAAATCCCCATTTTTCCTCTTAATTTATTCGTTAAAGGTTTTTCTTTTTTATTTTTTAGTTTGACCGCTTTACCAGGCTATTTGTGGATTCAAATATCTTTCATTACTCTATACATTTCTTCAATCTTACTTCCCATCTTTTTCCACTTGCATGTTCGCAAGAAACGGCAGGCATTTCTGCTGAAATAATTCCAGCTCTGGAGATGGCGAATAAAGGTAGCGAGGTAAAATGGGTGGCCTTCAATTCCCGTGAAGAAGAAGAAGAAGAAGAAGAAGAAGAAGAATAGGACGAAGAAGAAGCCTTGTCGCTCTCTAATCTATCAATTATGGAAATCAAGAGAGAGAAGCATTCAAGTGAGGAAATTAAAGCTCTGATCTACCGAATTCCATCAAGATATTCTACTCTCACCGTTTAAGTCAACTGGGAATCAGTTGATACAATGACGAATAAGGGTACCGCATCGCGTATTTCAACTTGGGTACCCCTTAAGCTGGTTTCAAGACAAAGATACAATGGTACTACATCAGAAAGTGGCGAAGAAGGGTACTGTATCTTTCTCTTGAAACCAGTTCCCACTTGTAAAGTAGACTGACAATGAGTTAAACTGGTTTCCACTGCATCAGAAAGTGGCGAAGAAGGGTACTGCTCGAACCAATTTCAAGAGAAAGATATAATGATGAAGAAGGTGTATGAATTATCTTTCATCGCGTATTTCAACTTGGGTGATGTCGAAGTTCGCTTGCTCAAATCATAGGAATGTTGCAGATGATCTTGGTGAGTTTTCTCATGTTCAAGCCCTTGCTTTCAACCAGCCAGCGAGAAGCTTCATTGGGCTCTTAGAAGGCAAGCCACAGGAAGATGGAGTCATAATTCTAACACAGGAGCCGGAACCCCAACCTTGTGCATCTTCTCTTGGTTCCCCTGTCCGGGTACATAGGGACGAACTCGTTGGAGTGAGTGTTGACTGCTTTCAGGAGGTGGAGAAGGGGGCTGTGGTTTTGCTCTAGAAATACGAAGGGTAATGAAAAAAACAAGGAGGGTGGAACCAATGAGATGCAAATAATAGTTAAAGATTTGTGATGTGGCTTCTGTTTCCGCCTCTCACGTATTTCTCCCTCTCTCTCTTGATCAGGATCATCAAGTGTGGGCCATGGTGTCAGCTACAGTGTTAAACTGAGAACACCACCCCTTGGTGGTGGCCAGCGGTGAGCCCTGGCTCTTGTGTTTTCATAATGAAATGGTGGACTTAACTGTTGAGAGCTTGGCTTGGGCTCTATTTCATTTTCTTGAGAAAGAAAATGATGAACAATGTGTTTTATTTTTAAGGGTAATTTTGACATTTTCAAAAGTCTTAAATCGCACATGAGGTTACATCATATACATAACAGACGGTCCATTAACGGTAGGTACTAGATTGTTGCATTTCAAAAGTTCGGGTACTAGATTGTCACGTTTAAGTTCGAATACTAAATTGGCACTCAACCTAAAGTATAGGGTACCTATCGGGAAATTTTCCTATTTATTATTGAATGAAATCTGAACATTGTTATTTTATTAGTTTTGGTATGTTTCTGTAAATTATCTCTTAAGTTAGATATTTATAAGACTTGTGTTTGCTTAGAATGTTTTCAGTCATCTGATAAACTTAGGGAGTATCATGTCAAGGCTAACACTATTCCACTGCTGAATCAGTGGAGCATGTCTCAACTACTAGGGTTAGACCTAAGATACAATGGATGGTTGTTAAGTGAAACACTAAATAAGAACCGTTTCTAGTTATGCCTTAGACCTTAGATGGAAAAAAAACTAGAAAATTGGACTCGACCTCTGACTTGATAATAATACTTCACCATGTGTTAAATTAAATTACTTTTGATATACCAACTAGTGAGATCCACTTATGATCAAATACCTAAGTACGTTGAAACAGTTTGGAATAGAACTTGAGTGGTGATCATTGTGATAAAATCAACCACTTTGTCGGACAAAGAAAATATTCTAATTTACATTCTCTAATGGAAATCTAAAATTATCAACAATAGATTTTAACTTGTTTTGATATTAGTTTATAAAATGAATTTATATTTATAAATAGTTTATTTTATAAAAGGGTTTGCAAAAGGTTTTTAATCTTGAAATATATCTGAGTAAAGRGTGTGAAATTGTATCCTATAGTCATGGAAGAGGTCTTTCCCTGTGGGTAGTATACACATATTACTAGCTAAGAGGTTGAGAGCAAGTGTCTACTTAAGTGTTGGGCCAAATTTGAGACAAATAGGATTGGGGCAATTTACTAGATTGTACTAGTGAATTTTGCCCATATGCTTCAACATATGGCCCAAACCCATGTGGCCTTACATGGGAGGTTAGTGGGTGCAACAAATACAAGGTTCAAGTCAAATTGACTAGTAAGAGATGGGAAAATAAATAATTATTTAGGCCCATTCGTTTTTTGATAAGTTACTTACTCGAATAAATGCAATTACCTGGGTAAGTTTTTCTTGGAAAACACTTACCCAGGTAAATGCATTTACCCATGTTCTTTTATTTCTCATGTAAATAAGGCAATGATCATTTCAGCCATAAAAATCAATTATTAAAAAGGGCACTTTTGTCCCATTCAAGTGTTGACAACTTTCCCCCTAGATGGGAAAGTTATTTACCTACCTAGGAGATGAGCATCACTTACCCTGGTAAGTGATACCTAGAAAATTAAACTTTCCCTAATCCCCACATAAATCTGAAAAAAAGAACATGGGATTCTTGGTCAATGGGAACCAAAATCCCATTGACCAACTCTCCCCCCTCTCAAAGTCCGAAAAAAGAACGCCTCGTTAGGAGGTTTAGTTCAAATTGACTAGTCATTGGCCTACTTTGAATAGGAAGTTAGGTTGTTAGAGATTATGGGTCAAATTAGGGAAGTTTATTGTTCTCTATGATCCTAATTTAATTAGGATTATTTCCTAATTAGAAGTTATCTAATTTAGTTTGAAATCTGATTAAGAAACTCCTTTTAGGACTTTAGGAGTCCAACTCTATATAAGTGTAGGAGAATTGAAACACACATTAACATCAACAATTGTTCTTCCAAACCTTAGTTCGACCAAGGTTGAAGACTTTCTTCTCTCTTTTCTCTAGTTTTTCCAACAAAAATGCAAGCCTTATAAGTGATCAATTGCTACATTCAATTGGAGATTTTTGAAGTGCACAACATCAACATCAATTCACATCAATTGACTAGGATCAAATTCTGGCAATTTCGGTTGCATCATCTTCAGCTTTAAAGTTCAATTTTGACTGAATCCTTGACAGTTGTTGAATCTGAATCAAGTAACATTCTCCCCAATCTCAAACCACTTGTTAGTCATTGACAGTAAAGCTACAAAAACAATGTAAAACAACCTTATAAATCTCACAAGATGAATGTTGAACTACTGTAGAAGAAAAGAAAGAAAAGAATTAACATAAAAATAAATCACGTATCAAATTTTGTTCCTCTTTATTTCTTACCAAAATATTTTTGGGTATTCTATGAAAATGATAAGATATCTCTGAAAAATGGATTCAGGGTTGGTATTAAAGAGAAGTTATTCAATCCAACCAACATCTCTGTTTGGTTCAACTCTCTTGTTTCCATATCCAAATGGGTCAAGAGGCCTTTTCTTTCTCAAACTAGGGCAAGAACTTGGTGGCTTCAGTTTGTAAGTTTGTTTTGCATTATYTTTGCAGCTTTGTTGTCGATGATTACATTGTAATTGTCAAAAAGATGACTTGCCATGTCCTCAAATTACTAGTAGAAGGCCTAATGATTTAACTGAGGAATGTATTCAGTTAGACTTTGATGGATGATAATAGTGACTCCTTTATACTCAATCACTACCCACCATATCCATAGTCAAGATTGAGTGATCAAAACACTCATATTTGCTAAAAGATTGGATAATTTATGTATTTTACCTTATTTTAATTAAACTTGTTTTAGGGGAAAAAGTCATTAGCATAATTAATGCTTATGCATCTGAAGTAGATTTAAAATAAAACATTAAAAAATAATTTTCTTTAAGATATGGTATGGTACATAAAAAATTTCGATTTGGATTTGGGGAGAAAAATAATTCAGAAGGTACAATATTAGATTCTGTAATAGTTTATGATATGGCAATTTTAAACACCTTTTTCAAAAGAATGATGAGCACTTAATAACATTTAAAAGTAGATCAAGCATAAACCAAATAGCTTTATGTTAAGAAAACAGAACGATTGATGTATAAAAACTGTAAAGTTATTCCAAGAGAAAGGTTAACAATACAAATTTTGAAGAGAAATAGGAAAGAAAATACGTGTCCAAAAATTAGGTGGAAATTAGAACTTAGAAATATTAATTATATCTGGCTTGAAATGATAAACTAAAGAAGGTAGCAAAGGAAATCTTAGGAAAATTTAAAGGAAAATGGAAAAGCATTAAAAACTTGGTGGGAGAATGAAGAGATTTAAAATATAGTCAAATTAAAATAAACATGTTACAAAGAATGATAGAAAACTAAAGTACAAAAAGTTAGAAAAAATATAAAACTATAAGAAATAAAGTGAATGAAGCTAAATGTAAGCTTATGATGAGCTTTACCATAAATTAGGCATTAAAGAGGGAGAAAAGTAGTGTATAAGCAAACAAAACTGAGAGAAAGGGTAGAGATTTAAACCATGTTAGGTGCATTAAAAATGAAGATCAAAGAGTGTTGATAAAAATGAGAAAATGAAACAAAGATGGGAAAACAATAAGATTAAAAATAATACATACGTTCATAGAATTAAACTTATTGAAATAAAAGAGACATTAACTAAAACGAAGGAAAAAGGCATTAAAACCTTATAGGATTCCAATAGAAGTGAAAGGTATGGGAGATATAGATTTGTTATGACTAAATAAGCTATTTAACAAAATAATAAAGAAAAAAAGATGCCTGATGATTGGAAAAATAGTAATATAATGTCTATATTTAACAATAAAGGTGATAAGCAAAATTGTAATAACTATCAAAAAACTAAACTCATGAACTACAATATGAAACTTTGAGAAAGAATAATTGAACAAAGATTACAACTTGAAACAAGTATATTAGAGATCTAATAGGTGAAAGGAAACAACTATATTAGAAAACCAATTTGGCTTTATGCCAAGGAGATCAACCATGAAAGCTATATTTCTTTTGAGACGATTAATAGAAAACTTAACTTCATATGGTATTTATTAATCTAAAAAAACTTATGATAGAATTCCTAGAGAGATAATATGGTGAATTTTGAAAAATAATAAAGTTCAAAGTAGGAGAGACTTCAGATTTCATAATTATAATAGGTCTTCACTAGAGCTCAACATTTAACACTTACTATTTGCATTGATCATAAATGAATTAACTAAACATATTCAGAAAGTTCCATGGTGTATATTGTTTTCAATTGACATTGTTTAATTGATAAAACTAATAAAGGATTAAATGCAAAATTAAGCTTATGGACAAATGCTTTAGAAATAAATGGTTTTAAAATAAATAGGCCTAAAACAAAGTATATGACATAAATTTAATAATTATAGGAGTGTAAATCAAGATAAACTTAGAATTAGAGATCAAAAGAAAATTCAATATAACCATTTTTAGTATTTTGGTTCAATATTCGCAACAAGAGAGGGATTGAAAAGAATGTCACCCAAAGGATTAGAACAGATTAAGTAAAATAAAGGGATGCATCGGAACATTTGTGTGATATGAGAATACCACTTAAAAGAAATTTTCTATAAAACAAGTATAAGGCCAACTATGTTATATAGAGCAAATTGTTGGGCAATCAAAAAACATATTCAAAATTAGAAAATATTGAATCAGGAATGACACCATCAAACCTATGAATAGCTCCAATAAGTGATATAATGAGAGAATAGGCTAAAATGGGTTAGACCAAAATGGGCATGGCTAGTAGTAAGAAATGATTTAAGAACTGATAATTTAACAGTGGATATGGTTTAATGGAGTGGTGAAACAACATTCATGTAGCCAACCCCATATAGTTCAAATAAGGCATGAATGATGATGATGATTCATGCGAAATAAGAATTAGCAGAAAAATGTTTAAAAATGTATGAAAATGTAAAAGAATAAGATGAGCATGCATACATTTGTGAAGCTATATACAGTCCTAGTTTTAATGACACTTTCTTTATTTTTCTCTATTTTTGTGTTTCACCTTTCTGGTTGATACTGATTCTAAGTTTAATGTTCAATTGATTATTTTTCTAACTTGGGATTTCAAAATGGAAATAATGCTGCTGTTATTTGATTCATAACCGGTAAACACCAACAATTTTTTAATCTATAATTTCCATCTACATAAAAGTTCTGGTTGACATATATAGTTTCAGAGGAAAAAGCACCAAATGTTTGTAAGAAACTTCCATTGAATGTGCTTAATATAAACCAAAGCTCAACATTGCATTCTTTTTTTTATAGGTAAAGCTCAACATTGCATTGGAGCCCAACATTATCATGTTCTGAAACAAACCTGTGACAAAAATAATAGTACATATTAGAGACTATGATTTTTTTTTCTTTTGAAGCGGAGACTATGATTAATAATATAAATAACAGAACAGGAAAAGTTGCACAAGGACTATTAGTTTAATCAGCACTAATTAACACACTCTAAGAGGGAAAAAAAAAAAAAAAACCTCTCTAGAAGACCAGCCAAAAGTTATGCTCTAAATGAAAATGCAAGGCCAAAAACTGCAGTTGTAAAGGCACCCCCCACTCCCGAAAAGAGGCCAACATACTTCCAACCCTTAACCTACAAATTAATAAATGATCAAGAAAAATCCAGAGTTGTCTATTAGAGTAGACATATACATTGGTGGGGTGCAAGAGGCAACAGTTAGATTTTTTATAGTAAAAATGAAATTTCATTAAAAGAAAAAAAAAGGGATACATCCTGATAGGTGATAAGGAATCACCACATACAAGAAAACAACCGAAAATTGCTAAACTAATCATACAAGATTTTCCAAATTACACAATTGAAACCCCAACACTTCCTCAAGTTTATCCCCAAGATCCTCCTTTAAGACTTGTGTAAATTTCGGTAGCATCAGCACCCACTCTCCAACGAATTTGCTAATTGCCGCCAATATCCTGTCCATTGGCTAAGATTTGTCTTCAAAAATTCTTCTATTTCTTTCCTTCCAGATGTTCTAATATATTGCAAAAATGATGCAATCCAAATTATTTTTGCTTTTCTGCATCCTCTTATCTTCGGCCATGAGGAGAAAATTGTTGCAGGTGATCTTGGAAGAAAATCTCATACCCCAAACATACCTATAAACAAATTCCATATAAAACCAGCAAACTTGCAAGAAAAAAAAAAAAAACAACAAACGGCAAATATTTTGCTCCTGCTCTTCACAAAGATAGCACGTGTTAACTAAGTTAAATCCTCTTGATTTCAGGTGATCCACTTTCAAAATACTGTCCATTGCCACAAGCCATGCAAAGGCTTCAACCCTAGGGGGAATCGGGTTTCCCCAAACAAACAACTATAAATAGATTCCATGTAAAACCAGCAAACTTGCAAGAAAAAAAAACAAATGGAAAATGTTTTGCTCCTGCTCTTCACAAAGATAGCACATGTTAACCAAGTTAAATCCTCTTGGTTTCAGGTGGTCCACTTTCAAATACTGTCCATTACCACAAGCCATGCAAAGGCTTCAACCCTAAGGGGAAGTGGAATCAGATTTCCCCAAACACCTCCAACGTGGTTTAAACTTGTATTGTCCCTACAAAGAGCAAGGTAGTATGATTTCACAGAGAATTTCCCATTTGAGCCTTCTTTCCACCATAATTCATCCCTTGCTCATCTGAAATTTCCACCTTCTCTAATTTCTCCAGCAAAGCAATGCATTCATCAACCTGTCTATCCAGCAAAAGTTTCTGAACTTCGGAATGCCCAAATTTGCTGTCCTTCAGCCAAAAAAATAGCTTTCTATTCAAGCTTCTTTTAGTAGCTTCTCCAAAGCAACTCAACCAAAGCTTCATCCCTCCCAAACAGGCCCCTTGGTTTGGTAACTATTGGTAACAAGATTTGACAAACACAGCCCAAGAAAGTCAATCTGAAGTTCCAAATAGGGAGCTTCAACTGAAGCATTCTTGACTCTAGGCCTTTGAGTTTCTTGTAGAAAAAACCCGGAGGTCCGTTGAATAGGTGTGATTATAAAATATTTGGGGTATATAATTAAGACATTGAACATCTTCTAACTCCAGATGCACTAGCGAAAGCAAAGAGAAGAAAAGAAGCAGCCAAACACCAAAATAGTTGTCAAGCCGGTGCCTAGCAATAAGGCATTTATTTTGGGATCACCTTCTGCCTCACTTTAGTGTTTCCATATGGGGAGGTGTAATAATTTTGAGAGTAGTACAGCTACACCATATCATATTGCATAAACAAGTTAAAACTTAAAAAGGTGCAATGGGCACTATAGGAAATCAATTTTCAACTTAAAGAGAAATAAAATAATAGGGGTGCAAGTCRGGTGCCCGACTTAAAAATTTAAACTGCACCAAGTCCAGCCCTCAAAACTTAACGAGTGCCACCTAAGTACAACCATTGCATTGTGGAAGGTCATTCAGAAAACTTAAGCACAATTCCTAGAAGGCATTGTAAGCAAGCTGGGCAATGGTGGATGTCTAAAAGATTCTGGTTGGACTTGTGGTGTGGAGATAGGTCCTCGGCTGAAATCTACCCTAGCCTCTTTAATTCAGCCAAAAACAAAGGCAACAATTGCTGAGACCTTCACTAACGAAGGAGCTATTGGTCATTGGTCCCCTGTTTTCAGAAGAAACTTGTTTGACTGGGAGATTGAAAATTTAGAAAATATGCTCCTCCATCTTCAGCAATTTCAGCCTATCAACACAGAAGAGGGCAGTAGAATTTGGAAATGGTACAGGAGAATTTTCTCAGTCAAATCCATGATGCAGCACCTCAGTTTGAATGTACCCACTTTCCCACATAAAGTTGTTTGGGCACAGAAAGTGCCACCAAAAGTTGCTTTCCAAGTCTGAACTGCAGCCCATGGCAAATGCCTTACTAAAGATAAGCTAAGCGAGGTATTCCCATAAACTCCCCCAACTGTCCTCTTTGCAATGCTTCTCAAGAGACTCCAGACCACCCTTTTCTGCATTGCCCTCTCAGCATAATCATCATTGGAACCATTTGTTGGCTAATCTGCATTTATGTGGGTCTTTCCCAACACAGTTTTGAACTTCCTAACAGTTGGAGAGCTGAAGGCCTCTTTGTTAATGGCATAATTTTCCCGCAGCTGCACTTTGGACAATTTGGATGGAGAGGAACAACGGAATTTTTCAAGGAAAATCCTCTCATACTGACGAAATTGTACACAACATGTTAGCAAAAAGTTTCTCCTGGGAAAAGGCACAATATTTCTACAGATGCCCTCATTTTGTAATTATCTTCCTTAAGGTTTTCTTGAGGAAGTCTCACCCCATGTACAGCCATCCATTTTCACATATGATACAATATACTTTACCTTCTCTTAAAAAAAAAAAAAGGAGTTTTGTACCTTGTTTCATTTTTTAATCTTATATAATTACTCCCATCTGTCTTTCTAACCATAACCACAGAATAAAGGCTCAGCCCTTTTTCCCTTTCTCTGCAATTAACCACACTTTTACAACCTCTACTCTATATCTGTCACAGAAGTTCTCAATCTCTACTCTATATCTTTGAAGACAAACTCAAGAACACAGAAGTTCTGGTGGCTCTGGTAGGGAAGTTGATTGCAGAATGGGTTTGGGTGTTACCAGATTWCGATCAAGTAAACAGATCAGATTTGGGGGGAAATTTCTGGAGTTTGCTTGAGATTCAATGATGTGTGTGTACCAGTCTTAGTTTTGGACTGTACCCAGTTCAGTTTTTGCTCTGTTCTGTAAGCTAGGTGTCATCTTGTCACCTACTACATGTAACTTATCTTTTTCTTTTAATAAATTTCTATTTTACTCATCAAAAAAGAATATATCTGTCACATTCAAAATAACAATGGCCCCATCCCTTAATATGTTTCCTTTCACCTATTCTTTGACTTAACACATTATACAAATTCTCTCTTTATCTCCCTCTCTTGTTAAAACAATAGAGATCCATCCCCTGGATTTTAATAGGCTTAATAATGTTATTTAAACTCTGCCTTTAATGTTTGATTTTTCATGTTAGGATACTTTTAATGCTTTCTATTTGTGACACCAACTAGAGAAACTAGTTAATTCATAAAGGAAAAGGGGAACAAGTGACAATCATCTAAAAGTTATATATAAATTCCCTAGGCTACAAGGCGCTATGTTGTCCCCCAGCCTCAACTTAGAAACTTGGCAACCTCGCTTGTGAATCAGTTTGCACTCTCTTACATTGGTATTTTGGTACTTAATGCAAATGTCATATTCTCTAAAATTACATATATTGAAAATCAATAAAAAATCAAATGTCTCCCTCAAAAAGGTAATATCTATTATAGTCACGGTAACAAACAGAAAAACAAGCAAGAAATACCAATTCAAGCTAAAAATGTATTCTATAAGCCCCTTTCGCTAAACAAGCCTCCACTTCAAAAGAAAAAAACAAAAATCAAAAATCAAAAATCAAAAATCAAAAATCAAAAACAAAAACAAAAACAAAAACACACAAGAGACATTTGAAATTTTGGTAAGTCCATCATAATTAAAAAGAGAAGTAAAGAACCAAGACAGGTTAAAGAAACAGAGAGAACTCAGAAGCATTGCTATTCTTAATTCTAAACTAAATAATTAACTTCTAGAAAGATATACAGAAAGAGAAAAGTTTACCATGATCAACGCCCAGGCGTCAAAGAAGGATTGAGCCCAAGTAACATGTTGTTTCCACCAGGAAGATACGCCACATTGGGTGACTTCGCCAATGTAGCAGCAATTTCTCTTGACGCCTCAATCCTTCTCAACTCTATCAAACCCATCCCAGCAGCTGCAGTGGCATCTGAAATCAGCTTAGCCGACTCACTTTCTCCTTCAGCCCTAATAATAGCTGCTCTCCTCTCCTGCTCCGCCTTCATCACAATAAACTTGGACCTCTCCGCTTCCTGTTGTGCCACCTGCTTCTGCTCAACAGCCTTAGAGAACTCAGAACCATAGGACAAGTGAGTAATAGCAACATCATCAAGAACAATGTTGAAGTCCCTGGCGCGATGAATCAAGCTCTCGCGGACGAGGGCAGAAACGTGGGGACGTTCAGTGAGGAGCTGATCGGCGTTAAATTGGGCGACGACCGCTTTGAGGACTTCGTTGCCGATTGAAGGAAGGACCTTTTCGTCGTACTCGAGACCGAGGGTTTTGAAGATAGTGGGTAGGCGAGGGACTTCAGGGCGGGAGAGGACCCGGAGTGTGAGGTTCACCATTTGAAGGTCCTTTGTGCCGGAGACGGAGGAGAAGGTGTGAGGACGAGTTCGGATGTCGAAGATGTAGGGTTTCTGGAGCCAGGGGATTAAGAAGTGGGTACCTTCTCCAATGGTCTCGTCGAGAACTCCCCGGAAACGATCGAAGAGGACGGCTCGTTGGCCACCGTCGACAGTGTAGAGGGAAGAATTGAGGATGGTTGCGCCCACACCGAAGCCGAAGGCTGCTCGGGCAAGGTTTGTGAGGAAGGACACGGCTGCTTGGCTGCTTCCCATCTTCAGAAATCACAGAGCGAGCTTCGGAGAGAGTGGAGTTAGCTGTTTGATTTGTTTGTGATTCTGGTTTTTTTCTTCTGAAAGGTGGCAAAACCCTAGTTTCCTAAACCCTCTGGGCTCCGTTTTGTTTGATTCATTACAAGAGAAAGAATGTGCTCGGACCTCGGAGTAGGGATGCAAACGAATCGGATCGGATTCGAATTCGATCCGATATTTGTTATGTCGGATCCGACCAGATCTGATAGGATTCGATTCGATTCAATTTGAATTCGAATCCTATCACATCTTCRTATCTGATCTGGTTCGACTTTTTTTTAAAAAATTAATAAATTATTCGTAGGGATCCGTGCGATGCATGGGAAAATTTAAAGATTTAATAAATTTATTTTTCATTTAATGTTAATTTATAAAAAATAATTATTGTTAATTGAATATGAATAAATATTTTTTAATAAATTTAGTTTTATTAATAATTTGTAGTAAATTTAATCGTTTTTATTCTTTTTATTATTTTTAAATGAAACTTTGATTAATTTTAAATAAATAAAAATAATTATAAAAATTAACATTTTTATTAATTCCACTAATAATTAACAATTATATAGGAATGACAACGGGGTTCAGAGCAGGGCACCCCATTCCTTTCCCTGCCCCATAGTAAAGACACTCTACCCCATCCCCACCCCGTCCCCAGTGTCACGCGGATTCAAGGCAATGTAACCACTCCTCAATGTTGGGCGAGTTTAGGGGTAAGGCACTCCACTCCTCATCAAGGATGGAGAATCCTCGAATTTCCTTGTCTCGTCCCCAATAGTGGACGAGTTCAAGTAGAGGTGTAAATTGGGTCATGTTGGGTCGGCACAACACGACCCACATGTGGCCCGCACAAAGTGCGAGATGTGYTGTGCTAGCCTACGAGGTGTCCTGGGGCGTGCCTCCCTCCTCTAGGATAATTTGGGGGGTCGGTTCGGCACGACCCATGGCTCGAGCCTACACAGGGCCATGTTGTGCCGTGGGTCGGGTTGGGCCTTGGGCCAGAACATGCTGCACACCAAGCCAAGCTCAAGGCAAGGCACTCACTCCCCGTCCAAGGTTTTTAAAGTTGGACCAGATAGGGAACCATTATGGGGTCGAACGGTCTGACTATTCGATCCAAATGGATGACATGCTCTAACAAAAATAAAATTAGAAAAACAAAAAAAGGCCCAAAACTGTTGTCCGGGTAGATAGTTCCACCGCCCAGGTCAACGATTCGCTAACCAAATAAATGGTTTTTGGACAAAAAGTGGTTTTGAGGTGAAATGGTATCCGATTTCCAATTTTTTCGGTCTAACCATCTGGTTTGATCCAGTTTTGAAAACACTGTCCCCGTCAACCCAATATTCAATTTGATCAAAAGGATATATTGAGTATCAACTACATGGTAAATTTCTAAAAGTACACTAAATTGTCTTTAATATTCAAAAATGTAATTTTATGAAAATTTTGGAAAATTTATTGTACTTGTGTAATTTTGAAAATCTATTCAAATTTATTTAAATTTTTGTTAAATAATTTATTTTCTTTTTAAATGGTTTACTTATAGAATTATACTAATTTATCTTATAATTTCTAATTAAACTACCAATAATTTCCTTTTTTCAATATTATACTAATTTATCATAATAATTTGTGTAATTATTTGTTGAAATTATAGTTTTCCATTTCCCATAGTCATTTATCTTTAATAATTTTCAATAATTTTCAATGGAAATTACATAGTTTTTCAATGGTTTTAAAAAATCTATCAAATGTAATAAATTTTCCTAAAATTTCCAAAATATTCTAATAATTTTCAATAATTATTTAATGCATTTTAAATAAACTTTCAAATACTTTATATCTTTTAATTTCAAAAATATTATTTTACCACAATATAGTTTTATGAAAATTTTATTATATTTGTGTAACTATGGGGATTTATTGAATCTTTTTAAATTGTTATTAATTATATTTTTTTATTTGATAGTTTACTAACAAAATTACACTAATTTATCTTTATTTTTTAATATAAATTAATTAATAATTTCATTTTCTAACATTATAATATTTTGTTCCCCCATTTGTATTTGGTTATTAATTATAATAAAAACAATAACTAAAATYTTATACTTTTTGATAATTGTTAAATATAATTTTCAATTTTATAGAAATAAGTTAAAGAGTTTTCAATTTCATTAAAATGTTGTTAATGAGTTAGTTAATAACAATATTTATTAATTTTTAGTAATTTACTAAGTGTATTAATAAGAATATTTAATTTTTGGCAATTTACTAACCGCATTTTATTAACTTTTGGTAATAACACTATTTAATACTCATTGAATATGGGTGGGATTAAATATTAATCGTATTTAACTATTTATATGAATATTTTAAATGAGGGAGAGTGAATATAAAATGGGGGGAATRCATTTTAGGAATTGATTAGGGAGTGGAGCAACATGATATTTTCCTATTGGTTTAAATGAAATACCTTAGGAGAGAGATTAAAGTAATATTTTTAGGTAATTGGGTGATATGGCTTAATGGGAGTGGTGGGAAGGGAAGAGGAGAGAAAGTCAAAGAAAATGCAAGGTGGGGATAATAGAACAAGGAGAGGCATGGTAAC